CCCCCCCCCCCCCCCCCCCCCCCCCCCCCCCCCCGCCCACCGCCGGTACTGTTTTACCACTTCAGATTTTGTAAGTCTAAAGGATGGTAGAGATAGCATAGACTTTGAAACTGGAGAGATGCAATTTTGAAGTCTGATTCAACACTTAACAAGTCACTTACCTTCTCTGAGTGAGTGGGAGAGTGTCCTTAACCTGAGAATGAGGTCAAATGGGGACGATGGCATCTGGCCAGCAGGTTAGAAATGATGCAAGTGAAGCACCGAGCCCATTGCCTGGTACATGGAGGTGCTCTGGGAACGGTGGCAATGACAGCTCAGGCTCGGATTACTATTTTGATAATTGGAGATTACGGATATACCTTAAAACAAACTCAGTTCCTTCTATGAATAGCATGGATCTGCCATTGTTTATTTAGACTTCTAAAAAATTATTTCTGTGTTACGCAAAAAAAGTTTCAGAAGGTTAACCACTTATGGAATGAAGTAGAATGTCTTGGTTATTTGCCTTAATATGAACTTTTTTGGTCTTCCAAGAGTACATTTAGCTTTACTATTTCAAGATTTAATGTAAAAGTCCAAGATTATCCTATTTTAGGGCCTTGCAGGGAATACAAATTTTAATCCTCCCTAAGACTTTGGCAATAAGGAGCACAAAGACTATGGGCGGAGGCCAGAATAATACTAGCTGTGCGAGATGCTCAGGACCTGGGTCATGGCTTGTGGCTCTATGGGTTGTATATGGACAGCTGTAGGAGCTACATTCTCCTTTGTTGGTGAATCCCAAATGAGATGGACACAAATCTAGGGTAATGGTCATTATGTGGCCTTAGTCACTGGTGTAGTTATTTAAATAAAACCCTAAAGTATTTCACTACAAATATCAGGAACAATTAAGATGCTTACTGGGTCAAAAAGCTTTTGAGGTCAGAAACACCACAACTAATTACTATTCTCCAGGTAAGTTTGCCAGAATTTTCAATAGTTTTTTTTTTTTTTTTTTTCCAAATGAGTAGAGTACCATGCAGACAAAAGATTATTTAGTAAAACACACAAGGGTTAAAGTGTTGGTATTGGAGGCAGGATGGATATGTGTCTTCAGAATAACTGTTTTATATAAAAATGTTGCAATTTGTGGTATTTCCAAAACTGAGCAAATCTTATTTTAGTTAAAGGCCTATCCTTCTGAAAATTTTTTGAATTAAAAAAAATTTTTTTAAATTAACATATACTGTATTATTTGTTTCAGGGGTGCAGGTCTGTGAATCATCAGTCTTACACAATTCACAGCACTCACCATAGCACATACCCTCCCCAGTGACCATCACTCAGCCACACCATCCTGTCTACCCCCTCCCCAAGCCCATCCTTCATATCCCATGCCCAGAAACTGGATGCCCTATGCCCTTATTGGGGTTGGTTAAGCCACTAAGTGTTGACTTGCTGTGGGGCACGTGCAGGTATGTGTGTGTGTGTGCACATTTTCCTCTGCATCTGAAGTTACGAGTCTCTGTTTCCTTCCTTCCTTTCCTTCTATTTACGTCTTACTTTAATTGGAATAGCAAAAGTTTGTCATGATGCCTGAGTAAAATCGTTCTCATCAATCTTTTTCCTCTAATAGACTAAGGTTGCCAACAGTATTTATAGGGTCATTATTTTCAACTGTTTCTTGACACCTAACAATATTATTTTAAGCTCCAGCCAAGAGGATTTCCAATAATTATATAATGCCTCTCAGTAATGATCTGTTGCTTAAGATACACATTCTACTTTACCTTTCAACACATACTTGATAACCTCTCATTTACTAACTATAATTGAGGCAAATTCAGTCTTGGCTAATTAGGGGCTCTTAGTACCCCCTCATACATGTTATTCTTGATGACATATCAATAGAAGTAGGGTCTACTTCTTATTTTTAATTACAGTAATAAAAATGTGCAATTTAAAAATATTAGAATGTTTAAGGACATTATTACTATTTCACAAGTAATAAGTCCAGTGTCCTACTGGGCATATGCAAAATGACAGAACCTTCACAACCAAAACAGTATTGCTTGTCAAGCGTTCCCTTCAATAGCTAACTTACAGCCATGTCAGATGTTTAAGTATCAAAGAAAAGTATACCTAACCAGGACAATTAAACTAGACATAATTTTGTGTTTTTCTTTTTAAAGTAAGCTCTACGCCCAACGTGGGCCTTGAACTCACAATCCTGATATCAAGAGTTCTATGCTCTACCAAAGAAGCCAGCTGGGTTCCTCTAAACTATACATAATTTTAATGTTGACCTCCTTGTGTCCACTTCAGTTAGCTCTGTTGGTTCCTGTGGCCACACAAAAAGTCTTTGAAAAAAGTTTGGCGAATGGGAAGGAGTTGAAGTAGGTTATATCTTTTTTTTTTTTTAAGATTTTATTTATTTATTTGACAGACAAAGATCACAAGTAGGCAGAGAGGCAGGTGCAGGCTCCCTGCTGAGCAGAGAGCCCGATGCAGGGCTCGATCCCTATACCCTGGGATCATGACCTGAGCTGAAGGCAGAGACTTTAACCTACTGAGCCACCCAGATGCCCCAAAGTAGGTTATATCTTGATAGAGAAAGAAATTCGACCTCTGTTATGAATCGATGGCAAGCTTTGTAGTAAACAGGTCACCAAGATGAAAAATTGAACATGTTAAGAGAAGACACACACATACACACACACACATTCACTCTCTCTCTCTCTCCCCTACGTACAATGGCCTATTTCCAGATGAGTCTACCTTTTTCTCATCATAGAATACATGCTTCAGCTATACAAAGAATAAACATAAAGGGTATAACATCAATCCAATTTTCCTATTCTGTTCAGCATTTCTGAAAATTACCACATAAGCAAAAAAGAGTAAAAGAGGATCTGGAAGTAAAACATATGCTTGTAAATTCAGAGCAATATCAAATGGAAGCAGAAGTTGCTAATATGGTTTCAGTATTTTGTAAAAGAGCCAGCTGGATAGATGATAATTTTTCTACCCCTGCAGGGCATCAAAAGCTTTTAGGAAATCATTCTTTTCACACGTATTAACACTTAGCTTATTAAAACAGATGATACTTTTATTGTAAAACAGCCCGGGTAGAGGCTCGAAGCACAAAATCTGAGAGGGAAGACTCCTTTTGACCACCCAACCTGACAAACAGTGAACACTAACACCACAGACCAGGGCGGAGAGGATGATGCAGCAAGACCTTCCGTACCTGCCACAGCTGAGTGTCACCACGAAGCCCGTGAATTGCTGTTATGAAAACATTTGCGGTAACTTGCATAATTAAATGAAACTGCCAGAAAAGCATTTCTAAAATGCAGGGGAGACGCACATACATCAATACAGTTCAAAGCCAATATTCCATTTCAGAACCGGCGCTGTGCTGAGTTACGTGAAATTACATCCCGGCAACGCACCATTTTCCTTTGACTTGACTGTTAAATAATTACAGATGAGTGACAACATCATGACTGAAACGGGTTGGTCTCTTAGTTTCCTTTGCAGACTCAAGAAATGAAACTTAATGATCATGTTCTCTAAAACCACAATCCCCCATTTCTGGGAGTTGCCATGGGTCAATGAAGATTTCTGTCCCAATAAAACTATAGGGTTATGTTGTTAGCGTGCCATCAGCGCTGTAAACCAAGATAAAAAATTTTCAAGAAAGTAGAGTGGCAGGTACTTGCCTTTACTGCCGCTTAGGTCTTTGTTTAACTAAAGAGCATCATATCAACTCAAAAAACTTTTACAGGAAGAGCCAAATCCGTTATAACATGATTCTGTTTATGGAATGCGGCAAAGGTGAGTGAAAGAATGCTGTACACAGTGATAAACTGGTTATCATCTTGCTTGTTAAAATTAACCTTCGAAGGTTTTTGAGACTCTCATTCTAACAGTGACAGTGTTCATGTACAAAAGAAGCCAATTAAGACTTCTGTCAACAGTCAGAGAAATAAAAATATCAACTACATTAGCTATATAGAAGAAAAAGGATCAGAAAAGGAGTCTGCTTTGCAAGCACACCATCAAAATGCAATTTTCCTGCACCTATTTCTACGATGCCGGGAAGCCTTGCAAGGACAGTTACTTACATCAAACAGCTTTTCTATATACATTTCCTCATTGACCTTTTCTCGAAGAATATCCTGATTTTGCCGAACAAACATAATGTATGTGTCTGCCAGATCCATTCCCGGTTTCTGTTGTGGGGGAAAAGCATGGGGAATAAAAGATCAGGTCTCAGTTGTGAAAGCATTATTTATTTAATCACAACCTTAGAAAATAATTCCCTATATCATTTCAAAAATTACATTAGTAAAATATGCTCAATACCAAAATCGACAATGAGCACCTTCGGTAAATTCCATAATTTAAATAAATAAAAGTTTATTATTGATGACTGTAATTTGAGGTCATTACTAAAAGAAGTAGAGACATGTGGTTATAAACTAACCAGATATCTTCTTTCTTTAAGGGCTGTCTTGAAAGGTTAATATGCCAAGTATAAATGAATGTATTTTAAAAAAAAAAAGTCCCCACTTGAAATAATGATTTCCTAATTGGCAATATAATTTATTGTCATTATCTCTGAATGGTTATACATATATGTTAAAACCCAAAATGCTAGTTTTCCTTGGATTGCCTTCCTCAACTACTGTAGGTGTTCAAGGCATTTAAGCTAAATTTTCTTATTAATTTGAATAAAAGATTATTAGGAAGATCTTGGGCAAAACAATTTAATGGATTACAAACTGAAATGGAAACCAAAATTTTGAGGATCACCCACTGGTTCTGCTCATTCCTATTTATCAATACTAGCTCAAAGATCTGTTTTATTTTAGAAATACAGTAAGAATACTGATGAACCGATTTCCTAGGAAGAGTCTAAAGTGTGAATTAGATAACCTTCCGCAGTTATCCAGCATCTGGTGTCTTGTAATGTTAGGGGAAATAGAGCAGAGTCTACAAAGCCAGTACCAGGAAGGTACAAAAACCTGAATGGCTTCTAAAGGGTTTTCCTTCCGGACTTATCTTTAGTTCTTTTTTCAGTATCAAAGAGCTAGACTAGTTATTAAATGATTTGAATGATCTCCACTTGGCATTGATCCATAATCTGTATTGAGTCATTCATTTGCTTAGAAGATGGCATTAACAAAATGGTGGAACTGATGCCCAAATGAGCCAGTCTTGTATCATCTCCTATCCATAGAATGTACTGATAACCTCCATCAACAAACTCATTTTGCTAAAATCTTGCAGAGAAATGAGGTGAAAGATAATATGGGCCGTTTCACTATTACCACTGCAGGAAAAACAAGGCATACCTCTGAATGTTGTGGTAGCGCTTCTCCTTAAAAGGACAACGTTCTTATTGCTTTTTTTGGTGAGGGGAGTGTATTTTATACACCATGATAAAACTGCCCATCTCTTTAGCAGTGCACAGTATAGGAAGTACACATCTCATTAATAAAAATTACTTTGATTTTTTGGTAATGAAGTTAGTTCTGGGTAATGAGAGTCACAGGAAGCTCTTACTGCTCTTATATTTGGCCTAAAGGGAAATATATACCTCATAAATTCAAAGATCCTTTCAAACATGACCCAATAAAACAAACAGTTATTAGCTATAATTTGAAACAACTACTTAGTCTTCGTAAGATGTCTTCACTGGTCTTCCCTTGATAAACACCCATATACAATGTAGGGAGTATGTTTCAAACCTAATGGAGGCAACTTCTATTCATTCCTTCACTATTTTCATGCATAATTCTCTTAAGCAATGTCTGAAAGTTTAAACAAAATGACAAGGCTAACCAAGAGAAAAACCTAGGTTGTTTTTTCTTTTTTTGGAGTCGGGGGAGGTGTTATTAGATCAGTTTTTCCCATGAAGAGGCAGGGTAATTTGCACAAAGTTTACTACTATTAATACTTGAAGACAGCTAACCCATAAGATAAATACTTCTCTCCATGTTTCTCAAACTTTGTCAAAACACCAAAAAATGAGAACATTCAGAAAATATACTGTCACAGGATGAAAAGGACAAGAGAACACTTTTCTATGCATAATGGATCGTGTACAGGAAGGTAGCTCAGCATTGGAGGTTCAATCAGGTGCCTGGAAACATACTACTATGATATACATAATACCAAAGCAGTTGGGCACAGCTTAGCAAAACTGGGGGTTAAAGAATATGCAAACAATAGGCTTGCTTGTTCTACTATTTCTCTCCCCCGCCAAACCCCATTTTTATTTCTTTCGCCAGAAGAGTAGGCTTACAAATTTAATCTAGTCAATCACTTGACCCATCAGACTCATTGGAAACCAAGCTATAGCTTGGAGGACTGGGGAATTGTGACTTTAAACACTTGCCATAGATTCTATGGTCTTTTGTCCTATTTCTTTAATCCCTTTCAAGATAACATTCGACATAATGAAACCCCATCCAGGAAGAGTTTATCTTCTAACATCTAAAACTAACAAACACTTTATGGTTTAAGCCTAAAAGAAAATTAAATGCTGTTCCCTTTGGCAGACCCAAGGGAGAGGATACTGAAATCTGTAGGTTGAGACAGTTCTACACTTCCTAAGGAAATAAGAATCTCTGGTTGAGGGTGTGAAGTAAAGCTCATTTAAAAGTTTATTTCAACAAAATTAAGTGCTTATCTTTTTTTTTTTTTTTTTTTTTTTGAAAATTATGTTTTCTCCCCTTTTGGCAAATTAAGATCCACTTGTCTGGAAAACAAAACCTTGAATTCTTACATTTCTCATTAGCATTATTTCTTTATCTTTGAGCTGTTTACCTATTCTTGAAACTGTGACATATGGGAATTTCACACCTAGTGAATATATTTTCATGTAGCTGTGGCATGAGACTATAATCATTAAAAGAATATACACAAGTAAAAGTAACTGCAACAGTTGGTGACATTTACCAATTAGAATTATAGTTCTTTATCCTTCCTTTAGTGTATGAAGGGTAATTATCTCTGATAAATTGCTGAAAAAGATGTAATTTTCCTTTTAAACAGTTTCTACTTATAGTACAAATGTGTTTGGATAGAAGACATTATTGCTGGTTCAGTGCTCCTTTGTGCAAAGACTCTGTTTTATGGCAGTAAAATTTACATACTTTGGAAGTCACTGCATCTAATTCCATTATTACATGTTATGCATTTGATTCCATCATTCCATAGTGTCTTATTAGGAAATGAAGTTCTGCTAAAAAGCAGAAACTGAACATACTCTCTTAAGGTTTGGGGGGTTTTTTGGTTTTGTTTTGGTTTGTTTTTGGCTTTTTTTGGGTGTGTCAGTGAATGGATGCCTGTCACTGCCTGGTAGAGACAACAAATTGTTACATGTGCTGGTGCAGGTGGGTGTCCCCTAGCCTTAGCAAGCAGATATCTAGTAAACTTCAGGAACTGTTGATTTGGATGAGTTTTTATCAAGAATACTGTATTCTGCAGACCTAGATTTAGAAATCTTTTCTAAATGGTAATTAGAGTTTTCTTAATGAATAGGAGGGAAGAACAATTAAAAACCAAGTAGCATGCACTCTATGGATTTAATGCCACTTAGAGTCCATGTGTTTTTTTTTTTTTTATTCCCTCATTTAAAGCTCTGAGACCCATGGTTCACCAAGCACTAACTCCTCCATCTTGTTTATTAGGATAGTAATTTCTAAATCAAAATAGGAATTCTCGAATTCTAATTTGATTAAAAAAAAATTTGGCTAACAAAGTTATAGTAAAAGGACACAAACACCTAAAAACTTCGCCCATGAGCATCAAGAAATCAATAAAAGAGGAAGGAAAAGAAGGACAGTCAGGGGAGTGGCCCTGACATTGGGTGCCGAAGTAAGAGAACAGACCAGTGAGTGAGTAAGTTTGGGTAAGGGTGCAGGCTCCAGCAATTTTTTTTCAACCATTAATCACCAGTTAACCTAGTGAGATGAAAATGCTGTTGAGAAAGAGAGAAAAAAAATTCCTTGTTAATTACACGCTGCAAATGCTCTTACTTCCTGCTGTTACACCTAATCCCACAGGTGCAAGTCTTCACTCTCCCTATTCACGGGTAGGTGTGTGCCATGCTGCAGTCATTTTCCACAGCAACGGATTTAGATGTAGAAGAAGCCGCTTAACCTTCCACGGGAGGTTAACAAGACACTATGCAAACACTGTCATGGTATCTATTTAACAAGGAGATGATTTCTTAACTATACTATTCCAGTCTCAAGGATGAACTAGAAGCTACAGTATAATTGACTTAATTTGAAAGTGCGCTTCTCATAACCTACAAAAGCTTGCCTCGAAGAAACAATCAAGAGTGGGACTGTGATATCCTGGTTTACGATAATCTGCGCATAAGAATCTTCGGAGATTTAAAACAATGGCAGGTCTCCTCAGTTCGAAACCGTAATAGCAATTTCTACTTCAGCTCCAGCGCTGCAAGTTCAGAAGTCAGTCTGTAACTGATCATCAGGGAACGTAGGGCATCATTCTACAAACACAGAACTTATTCCAGGTTTTTTAATTTTTTAATTTTATTATTTTTTTAAAAATATTTTTTACTTCATAAGACCACATTCTTTTTTTTTTAAATATTTTATTTATTTATTTGACAGACAGAGATCACAAATAGGCAGAGAGGCAGGCAGAGAGAGAGGGGGAAGCAGGCTCCCCGCTGGGCAGAGAGCCCAATGTGGGGCTCGATCCCAGGACCCTGGGATCATGACCTGAGCTGAAGGCAGAAGCTTTAACACACTGAGCCACCGAGGCACCCCTTATCCCAGGTATTTTTAACAATACATATCTTTCTTTCACTGTGTAATATATTCTTTATTACTTGGGCACTTATGCAGAAATTTCAACAGTTTTCTATTTGAGTGAAAATGTTCTTAAAGTGAAGCTTCTCAAAAACATTTGCAGTAGGTTAAGTGAATTATATAGTCTCAAAAACCTAAAAAAATAGGTTTGAGTATACCTGTGATGATTAGGTTGCAAAAATATATATTTACCAATTTTGTACAAAGTAGAATAATTATATTGTATTCACATAGAAAAAGCAAAAGGAAATAAACAGAACTAGAGCCTTCGAACTAGATTTATCCCATCTTAAATATTACTGAAGCCCAGGAAGAGGAATAATTCATAAGTTGGGGCGGGAGAGAAATGTGAACAATGAAAATGTCACAAAGATATA